GCTCGAATTAAAGTGTCAGCAGTGAAAGTACAAAGTACAAAAAACGCAGCTTATTAGCGTGCAACAGAAATTACTAACAACTGGGAAAAGTAGCATACTCGAGTGTAGGGTAATCTAAAGTGTAAAATTTGCTACTTAAATTACCTAATCGCTGTATTAGAATTATAGCGTAACAGAAGGGGATTTGTAGGATCGTGGACGTAAGTGAAAAGCTAAATCAAAGAATGCGCGGCAAAAGGAGGTGAAAAAGGCATAATGGGTAGCGTATATAAGCTTTATGGATTTTTTATTTAAGTTAAAAGGCGTTCTTATGACATACGAGTTCAAGCATATACATACATATATACGGTTGAATGTAAGTATGAGTGTAGTTATGTCCATTAGGGGTGGTAGTGACACATTTACTGTCATTGTCGCATAATATTTAACTGTTGCGTGCTTTTAGGCGCACTTTACTAGTCGTACTACTTTCAATAGAAAGCTTACAGGTGTTCAAAGTTTACAATGGCTGCCTTTAGCTGCGCAATTCTTTTCACACACACATACATAATATATACAAAGTGGCTTATAAATTATGCAAGTAGTCATAGACAACGTTGCAGGTCAATCAACGGGTTTCTATTCTGCATATATCATGTTATAATGTAGTGTTGTTTTCGAATACGCACGAGGCAGGTGTAAGTAAGTGCTCTCGAATTATTTATGGATTCTCGTACATGCAACACGTTTCAACAGGCTGCGTTATAACACTGCGTATGTGCGTCCGTCTATTGATATATTGAATGGCTTCGATATGTATTTGTTTAGACATATTTGCTTAACCTTAATGATGATTGAGGTTGTCAGTTTTAGGTTGACAAATTGCGCTCTAGATAATTTTAATTGCTGTAGCTTTTGGATAATATGCATTTTGGGCAACTAAAGAATTTGTTCAATTAATGAATTAAACTTTTTATTGCAAATCCGGCATGATTTTGAGAAATTATATCACTCAAATATCTAACCTAAAAAATTAAGCAAAAACTTATGGAAGAATGAAAGCATTGCTAGAAGGCTCAGAAAATTGATGTGAATAGAGTTGCCATATTACTTTAAATGTAAACGCACAGCTAGTGAGTTATTTTAAAGCATTTTCAATATCTCATAAAAATTGTTGGGCAGAAGTTTTTAATGTTAAAACCATAGTTTATAATTGTTTTCTTAACGGAGTTGCCACCTTTATTTATTGGAAAAATGTATACATTACAATAAAATCAAGCAAAGTTCGAAAAATAAGTATACCAAACGGAATGCGCTGTATAAAAAAAAATTGTGAATAGGGTTGCCATCATTGCTGAATAAAAATTTATACATTTGAATAAAACCGAACAAAGTCAAAAAAATAAGTATACCAAACGGAATGGGCAGCATTAAAAAATAAATTGTGAATAGGGTTGCCATTTAATATGATAAAATACAAACCTAGAAACAGAAAAAAAATTTTAATATGATTTCAAAAATTTGAATTAAAAGTGTTAGTTGGGAAATTTCAATTAGAAGCTAGCTAACAAGAGAATTGCAAACACAATTAAAATACAAATTAAATATTTTATAGTTCAATTTTTTTTTGCATTTGTTATTCAAAATGTATATGTAAGTATATACTTGAATAGTGAAAACCAATGTAGCTGAAACTTTACTGTATATAAAGTAAAATAAATGTAAATATTCTCACTGCTGAAATTTTTGATTGGGTTATCACTTCTGTTTTTTTTATCAAAACTTTATTTTTAAATTAGTGCATATGCAAAAAAAAATTTAAAATCTCTCCAGAACAACTTTTGACAGGGTTGCCACTTATGTTGTTTATCAAAACTTTATTTTCCCAACAATATACGAAAAAAATTTGACGTTTTGAGGGGTTATATCTACTTGAAAGTCAGAAAAGCACGGGTTTTTGTGAATTTTTTTAAAAAGAGGCGTTTTATTTAAAAACTGAATAAAAAACATAAAGATTTACAGATCTTATGGTACTTTCATAATTCAGGAGGACCTCCGCAAAGCGGCGGGAGGAAGATACTTTTTAAAATTATATCTAATTTAAAAAAACAACTTTTTGGTGAAAAAATTTACGCTTCAAAGTAGCTTAAAAATCGAAACATCTAGCACGGTTGAGTAAAAATTTCGCGAGAAATTTTCCTCACCGTTTCGAGAAAAACACGTTCAAATTTTTGGTATCCGATTACATTAAGTTTAAAAATTCTTAGAGACATGCTCATATCTCCAGAACTGTTTGCCGGATCAAAATTTTCGGAGAGTATTTTGAAATATATGTCGATACATACATATGCGATAAAAATCGATTTTTTGAAATTCACAAGTAGATATAACTCCTCAAAGAAGACAAGAAACATTAAATTCAAAATTATTCGTTTTTGTCTATAATATTATTAACAAATGTTTTTACAAAAATATCGGTGGAAGAATATCCACAAGAATATTTTAAATATTTATTTTGAAATTTTATACTGTATAGGCGTGTACTATACAGATGTATATTTACTTATTAGCATTCATTTTCTGCATGGTTTGACTACTTTTTTCGCAGAAATCACACATGATTCGAGGTATACATATACTTCTTAATGCATTCACAACTTTGTAAGTACATACATGCGATATTTATTTCCCTTACTATTTGTTTACCATATAAGCGCTGTCGTAAAATTTCCATAGTGTTTTTTTCTGTTTTGTTTTCTTTTTATATTTCGCGCTACTGTTGCTTAAGTACTCAGACCAAACGCTAAAGTACTCGTCTACACAATTTTGTAATATGGTCAAGGCAGTGCCGCGATATTAAATAAACAATCAAACACGATGTGTGTGACTAAGTGTAAATGTCATTCGAAGAATGCAATAAAGTATTTAACTTTAATCTGTTCGTATGTAGTTGTATGTATAAGTATATATTTATGTGCTGTATGATATATGTAAAGCGATTGTTGCTTTATAATATTGAATTTGGTATTGAACTGGCAATTTTAAAGGGCGTTTGTGAGTTGGAGACAAATCTTTTTAAAGCGATTAATATTATGTTTTGCGCGATTTTAAGAATTTTGAGACAAAGTTTTTTTCATTGCTGTTTTTTTTTTTTGTTATTTGAACCCACAAACTGTGTTTGCTCCATTAAAATCTGTCAATCTCAAATGCCAATTCAAGAGTTTTGATTCTTTAATGGCTTTATTGCCCTCATTTTTTTATAATTGTCAGTTTCTATACTTGCTGAAGAACATTCCTTTCAAAAGCCCAATATAACTTAGTTTTAATTTTTTTATATTTTTTTTTTTTTGGTATATTTGTATTTGCTAACCACTTAATTTGTGGAACAAGCCATTTTATTATGGTTCTGTAGTCACATGTTTGCTTTGGAATTGTATTGTTTCTTCATTGAGACACGCCTCTGTTTGACTTTGACAAATAAAAGTGTTGTTAACGCAATTATTTACTGCTTGTCAAACAGCCGTTTACTTGATAACGGTGAAGTTACGTACTATATAGTAAACGATCTTCGAGCAAATATTTACTGTGATAGGTCAGTTTAGGGTAGAGCTTATCACTCATGTTGCGAATATAATTATTGAGCGTGTTTTCTTGTGACATAAACGTTGTTAGACAGATAGCAGTCAAACCAGCTGACAACATATACGCTTGTATTTGACATTTTTGCTTAGTAGAGTTTGGAAAACTAGGTATCTTCAAATGTCTATGAATGACACCTAAACAATTTTATAAAATTGTAAAATTTATCTATGAAACTCGCGTTGTAGAAATTTTTACAGAGACGATGTTCTCCATATTATTTTCTTGCGATTAAGCAAAATCAATTTTTAACTTCGTATACTTTTCTAATATTTATTTTAATAAAATTGTACAACTTATAAAACTAACCTTTATAAATAAGTGAACGCGAATTGAATTATAAAAGGAAGTTTCAGCTCGATCAAACTAATGTCAAAATTACTTACTTTGGAAAGAACTTACAATTATCGGTGGTAAAGAAAAGGAAAGCTGGAGCACTAAATTGGGCACCCTATGCTATCATTTGAATATTTTGGAGTAACTTCTAAGTTTTTCTGTATTTTTCTCAGCCTATTTTGATGATTTTCTTTTTCACATTTTTCAATGTGTGGAAATCTGGACAACGAGTACCAGAGAAGTTTATCGAAAATTTATACCAGGAAATTATCTACTCTGGGCTGCTCCCTTACGGCCAAACTCTTAATTCGAATATGTACTGTCAACAATTGCACCGTATGAAGTCAGCAATCCCACACAAGTAGCCAGTTTTGGCCAAAGGAAAGGAATTAGTGTTCATCAGGACAACAGCAGGCTACGCACATCGATAGTGACTCACTAGAAGTTATGCGAGCTTAGTTGGGAGGTTTTTATGCTTCCACCTGGCACCAAGTGATTACTACCGTTCCAGTCTAAGGCGAATGATTTTTCTGGTAAAAATATTCGAATCAAGGGAAGCTTTTGAAAATCCAGTGTTCCCGTTTTTGCCAATACGGATGAGGGTTTCTTTGAGAGTGGCATTATGAAATTACCATAAAAGGCAACAAGTTATGAAATAAAATTATGCATATTTGACCTAAATCAAATCATTCTAATATCATAGCTGATAGAATTTGTATGCTTCTTTGGAAGATCACCCTAAATGTAGGCAATATTTTTTAACTATCTCAATTTTATTTACAAATTATTTGAGCTCCTTTTTTATTTTCTAATAGTTATTACAAGTCGTTTTGCTATATACATATATGTATATATAGCATTTTTGTGAAATAATATTTGAAATTTGAAAATTTTTAATATAACTGCATTCTGAATTATGCAATGTTTCAAACACTATACAAAAAATCATAAACATATTGAAGCTAAACTATTGATAGTTTAAAGAAGTTATACTATAATTTTTGTAATAATGAGTAAAACTGTAATTAAATAATATTTATACTCACAACGCAAGCCTTAATAGACTTCCAAAAGTTCCTCGCAAAGTCTTCAATCTTGCCGCTTTTTCTTTGAATCCTTGCCCTGTTAGTTTCTCCGTTTGACACAAGCAAACGAAATTAACGGTAAAAATTTATCCTTTATGCTATTTTATATTTACGTTTAAACTCAAAAAACACAGATCTAATAGGCTAAATTTCACTAGAATGTTTACTTCGATTTCAGAAATTTTTCAACACGTTCTAACAATTTCTCAAGCGATCTCTTTGGCTGGTTTTGGTAAAATACACACTCGACTGAACGAACGATAAATCGTTGTCGGCAGCAGACGTAGTTTATAAGCAAACGAAAAATCGACGCTCAACAGTCACATTGCAGAATTTATTTGAGGTTATGGGCACCTTAAAAATCTACCGTATATACACTGTGAAAAATTGCGTGCGCATATAAAGCGCGTACACGAAATATTATGTTATGTGGCGTTGAGTGATGCGTAGATGTTATCGATAACGATTATGTTGATTAAATACTTTAAAAAAAATCGTTTAAACGTTGCGTTGTTAACTTGGTAGCGAAATTGCAAGGCGTTTCGTTGCTACAAGCCGATTCAATTTATCAACTTTCGTTATTTTTCCGTTATAATTTTCGCACACTTAAGCACTCCAAAGTCACAGCTGCTCTGTGCAGTTGAGATTTCCGAATTTTATCGCAAATTTTTCGGCGAAAGAATTTAACTAGTTTGCACGTTCAGTCGCCTCTTAGCGTCCTCTCTTTCACTCACACTCAACGTTTGTTCACTGGCTTACACACACTAGCGCAGCGCTTACTTTAGCTTAATTTTTTTCTTGACTTTATATTGGCGATTACGTTGATCTATGGCAAAATCATATCGCGATCTCTGCACATTTTCGCTATTGAAATTGTTGTCGTACGTACCGAATAAACGGAAAACTCTTAGCGAATACGTTGTGACAAAAGTTACAGCGCCAGATGAGAAGAAGTCACCACGGCCCCGTGTGTAACCTCTAAAACGATCCGAATACCAAGTGGGTACACGGCTTCCGCTTTTTCTGTTGTTGTTGGCGATTGAAAACAGAATCGCCCGAAGTTTCACTTTATGAGCCTGTTCCAAGGAATACCGCAGCTATGATGCCGTATGAAACCGTTAGGAATCCACTCAACAATCAACAATTAAAGTAATCAGCCCAAATAATCACTTTGTGCCTTGGCTGAGCGCATTCGGCAATAAATCGCCACTATCCGCTTCGAAATCGAATCGATATGGGGTTGTTATCAGCTAAGAGCTGTAAGTCGAAATGTCTAGCTTACCGCTAACGGTATTGCGTTTTATTGATTAAACGACTGCGTTGCACCCGAATCGTGGGTGTTGTCGTCAGCGCCGTTGCTTATGCTTGGCGCAGTTAATGGCGGCGTAATTCAAGACACTTCGAAGCGTTTGCCTATCCGAATAGTCGCGGTATTATCCAGATGTGCAATTCGACAAATGCAATATAAAGCTTCACCACTATTTGCCGATGATCGCCAAATGCAACTGGCGAATTTCCACAGAAAAGTGTCACAACTATACGCCCACAGCGTTCTACTAACGGCGCTTTTGTTTTTCACTATTTTCTATAGTCGGCTTTTAGGCTTTCAGGCGTTGCGCCTACAAAACGCTTGAAAACTACGTTGCTATTCTTTTCTCTCACTCTCTCTCTCGTGCTCGCGACTTGAACGCAAGCGTATTGTGGCTTCTTGCTTCCACTATTCGCTCTCTCATTCACCGCGCTAGTCACGCACACGCACTATCGGGCTCCGCGTACTAGCCTACGACGTATTTTTCAATGTGTACCAGGTGTTTTCGTATATCTATGTATGCGTATGTGTATCAATGTTCGTGTGTGTGTGTGGGTGTGTGTAGGTATGCTTGTTCTTCCACTTCGTTATGTATTTGTTGGTGTACTTTTGGTGATGCACTCGTTTCGCGTTCGTTGACGCGACTCGGCTGGACTCGTCTCTGCTTGGCTGGCTCGGCGGCGGTAAACAATCTACGGCTGTTTGAGGAAATGTGTCGACACCAGCCGATATCTTAGCATGGAGGGTTTGTTGTGTACGGTGTGGGGGTGTGTGTGTCTGTGTGGGTGTCTCCTGACGTTAGTGGCGTGTATTTACGCTACTTTACAACAGTTTTTCACACACATACTAATAAGTTTTTAAATTTTCGGTTTTACACACACAACTCGGCGGCTGTTTAGTAACGTGGAACGAAGTTTACCAAAAGATGGTTCGATTGTTCACAGTTTCATGTGCGCGATTTTGGCACTTGATAATTTTTTTCTATTGCTTTCTTGCTCTATTTGAGTTAATAAAATATTTTTCAATCACTTTTTTTTGAGTTTTTAAGCGCAGACTATGCGGCAACAATCACAATGACTTTTATGGGCACTTTGTTCGGAAGGTCCGTTATCTGTAAGATTAAAAAGAATATACATAAGTGTTTCATAAATATATATATATATGTATGTATATGTACATATAAACGTATTTACGTGTATATATGTAGTTATTTCACATAACAAAACTAGTCTTATGGCTTGGACTCAATAATTAATTAAGTCAGCGATGGCAACACAATTTATTTGCAAGCTGAAGTCAGTTTGAAGACTGAGAATACAATTCGAAAGTACGTTGAAAGAATAAAACGAAAAACGCTCTATAACTCAAATTGATTATAATATTATAGCGAAGTGGTATTTTATTTTATTTTTTTACCTTATTAACTCGCACAGTGGTTTTCAAGGTTAAGCGAATTAATTTTTTTTTTTCATAAAATAAAATTTTTTATGCTTGCTTTAAATTGTACAGATTTTTCAGCCCTCCTTATTACAATTACTTTATATATGTAAGTAGCTTTGTCTATGCATTAAGGTGTTATATGCCGTCGTAGTTTATTTAATAATTAAATAAAAATACTGTACATTTACAGAATTTTATATACTTTAATAATTGGCGTGTCATTTAAAAAAAATTAAGATTCCCTTGACCCCGTAGCTGATCTCAACTAGATAAACGGTTTCACTGAAAATTATCTTAGATCGAAAATCTAAAAATTTATTATTAAAATTGTTTAATATAGGATCGAAAGAATAGTTAAAATATTGATTTTTGACAAAATTACGGCGCGCAAGAAACGTAGTTTTTTGTGAAAAAAAAATATACTTCAGAGTGGCTTAAAAGATCGAAATTATTATTAAGCTCTTATTCCTTCGAACATTACTTGATAAATCAAAGAAGGTTGTGTGAAAATTTCAAAATGTTTCGTAGTAAATTTCCGCACCAACTTTGGGCGCAACGTTTCGCGAAAAACACTTTTAAAGTTTTGAGAGCCGATTACACTAAGTGAAAAAATTTTCTCAAAAAACGCTAATATCTGCGAAACTATTTGACAGATCAACTTCAACTTTGTGGAGAATACACTCCAATACACATATAAAGTTCGATATAAATAAATATATTCGAATAAAACTTGCAATTTTTTGGCACAATTGACACAAATGAATTAACCCCTTAATCGGCATGCACTCGAGCTAAAATGTTGCCCTAAAATCAATTTTCTATCATAAAGCTGCTCGTGCCCTAAATATATTTCTTATATTACCAATACTTTGCTGTTCTCAAAAAAATTAAATTTTGTGAATAATTTCGTACAAAACAATTATTTTTAGGATTTAATGAGAAATTTTGTCAGAAACCAGTTTTGCAGTTTGATTTGCACTCTTGAGGAATTCCCTATCTACATATGTATGTACAAGCAGTCTTTGAGTCCAAAGTTTTTAAATTTTAGAAATCTAACTTCAGATTACGGCTCAGATATCTCAAAAACAATTAAGTGCAAGGTGTTTTGCAATTTTTGAAAGTGTCTCCGAACAAATTTTTTGGTCCACACATTACTTGAATTCGGAATCATACTATCATACTATTGATCAAGTACAATTATTTTGACTATAAACTTTTAAATATATTAATAAATCTTTTGGCAGCCTATTTAAATATTGAATTAGAAAAATAAAGAGGTCGTGGTTGAAGAATTGAAAAACTGAATCAAATGAATACATTATCATCAACAAGCATTTTTGGGGGGGAACGTTACAGTACTTTCTGAAGATAATCAAAAAATAATAATTATAAATTTTAATGGAAAAAATCAGATGAAGGCGCTTAAAATTGATATCTATCTGATAAATTTACAAAAGTGCATTTTACTCCGTTACACAAAAATATTAATATCTTCTATATGATTGACCAAAGTATTTTTTCACATCTTCTCACTATAGTCAAAAATCAATAAATCGCTCTGTGTCCAATAAGAGGTTTAAAGCAATTTATTCACCGCAAACTTTGTACGCTGTGTTATCGGATTTTCACAAAAAGCATTTCTAGACACAAGTTGCAAGTTTTTGCCACCACTTTCATTTATAAATTTATTTGCTAAAACTAAAATTGTTACACTATAATTAGTATCTGCCCACTACCCACGATTGTCAGCACAGCGAAGAACTGGTTATACTTTTTACATATTCTCTTCTCTGCCCCTCCACACTTACCGCGAGCACAAGTTGTCTACAGCTACGTACATATGTATGTCGAAATGCACACGTTAGTTGATATGTTCGTGTATGTATATATATATGTATTTGTGTGCACTGCGGCTTTCTGCTTCAATTAGTTAAACCAGAAAAAAGAAACGAACACACACTTGGAAAATATACTATTCACTACAAGAGCACTATTTGTTACACTACGCGTGTATTCGCCGTCCGATTCACGTTGTGTCATGCGAAAGACGCAATTTCTATCTGCCGCTGACACGAATAATCGGAAGCAAAGCGAGCGGCAACAGTGGGAGCGCGCAAATCATTCAACCAAGCAGCCTAGAGACCAAAGTCTCATCAACAAGCAAATTTGTTGTAAGAAGAAGAGGCTTGTTGGGCGATGATGGCGGCATGTAAATGTTGTACTATGGCCCTATGTGGTCTCTTTACTTTACAGCCGGCTGTTAGCGTAGCGCTATTACTCTAGCTTGTTTACTCACGTTTCTCTCACGTTTTTCACGCTGCCATTTTGCGCTCTATTACTCGCATTCGTTGGTGGTTCGTAATTTTCAGCGACATGTGCACCATGTCACATTGTTGCCGTATTTGTAAAAGTCTAAAAATAAGGGTAAATTTGCCTCTGAGTTTTAAGGGCTTTTCCATATATATTACTATATATCAATATATCATCGGATATATAATACTTCTAATTTTTATGATCTCATTCGTTATGCCTTGTATAATTAAAAATGTTGAAATGTCAATTAAGTGAAACCTGATAACGCTATCTTACAATAAAATCAAATTCAAGGCTTGTTTTACAATTTATTAGTCATTTTATGATTTACAAATCACTTTTTTCTAATTAAGGTATTATTAATCGATTATTATAATTGAAAACTGGTATTCGAGGTCATGCAAATTTTTCTAACGGAGGTCAATACTCTATATAATTAGACCGATGAAATTATATAATTACCAATCAATCCTCAATTCTTTTTTAAGTATATTTCGAGAGGCTAAATAATTTTCATCAATTCTTCTGGGACTTTAGATATTTGTACCGAAACGTTGAAAACAATTCCCAAAACTTTCTTATAAAATTGTACTAAACGGTGGTTATGCAACTGTCGGCCATCTGTAAATGATTTCAATCTTTTTCAGTCCGGCAAAATAAAATTTTTCTTAAAAGATTTTTCGGCATTCGGAACTAGTTTCAAAATGCTCAGAACGACTGATCTGGCGAAGATCTACCAAATATTGGAAGGAGAATGAAAAATTCGAAACAGCAATACAGAAACCTTGACTAAGAAGAGAACTATGTATACTTTCCAAGCCATAATATACTTCACAGGCACATTCATGTAGCATAAAATCATATAAAAAGATCTTTAACTTGTATTTCATCGGTCAGTTTGTATGGCAGCTATTTGCTATAGAAATCCGATTTGAACAATTTCATTAGAGATTATACCGTTGCCTTGAATAATAACCTATGCCAAATTTCATGAAGATAACTTATTTTAATCGGTCAGTTAGGCTAGCTTCTTGGGTAGAAAATTACGTGCGCAATATTTTAGATCAATATCTCAAAAACTGAGGGACTATTTAAAAGTAGGCCAAAATTCACAGGTATTTGTTGTGGCAACACTGGCCGTCAATGCAGTTACTATTGGAGTTTATGTTGCTGTATGTACCATAAATGTTTTCTTTTTGTTTTAGCGCGCGTAAAGCGATGAGTAAGCGTGCCATGCTCTCCGCACTCATGCCACATTCATACCACTCCCTCAAAAAAGCAATGGAAAATCCCCAAATAAATGGAAACAGACATAGATACACTTGAGCGCCACATAGTTTATACATAGATATGCTATGAATGAGTTGTTGTAGGGATCTCGCCACTTCAGTGAAGTTATGAATGTACAAGCTGTGCAACAACAAAATCACCACAAGTAACTACTACTTATGTACATATGTTAATAGGTGTGAGCAGCAACATAACCACCTCCTCGACATGAGCATATTCTCTTTCAGAAAGCATATTCAATTAAAGTAAGCGCTCTCTTATGCTCAGTTGTGCCAACTATGCTCTCAGTGTGGTTGCGCTTGCTTTACTGAGCAATTTTATGCGTGGTCCCGTTATGTTGCAAGGCCGTTTGTTGCTTTTTGAATAGCTATGTTAAGTGCATACATATTTTTTCAATTGTACTACGGCAAATTTCTAGAATGTTCTATAAACGGGGTTATAGTGTAGAAATCAATTTTATTACTTACCACGTTGATAACTTTTACTCCGAAACATGTGCTCTCTATCTCTCGTTTACTCTCGCGTTGTTTTATGCTGCTTTTACACCGTTATGCCACAAGCTATACGTAAAGCTGATTGGTCCGTTTGATGGGTGTGTTGCATGGCCGAAATGCAATGCGAAACTTGCACGAAAAATATGCGAATTGCCGGCTAGCTGACGCAGCGAATTTGCGATTACTAAAATACTCTCGTTGCAATTGAGTATGCTGGTGACTTTTATATATTTATTTATTTATTTTTGTAATAAATCGCTGAAACAATTTTTATGTTATTTCGTTTTCCTGCTGTAACGTTTAATTGTTGATTTCACCCAAAATTTGCTTTATCGGCGATTTTCGTTCGTATTTACTTTTTGAGATTTCGCAATTTTTGTGATTTTATGCCTTTTTTGATGACGACTCGCTATATCTTCTTCTACACGTAGCTGCAATAAAATAATAAATATAGAAAATAAAAATTATTGTTTTCGGAAATTTTTAGCAATTCGATTGATTATACTATAATAAATAAAGTAAACAAAACATACTTCGATTTATTATTTATTTTTTATTAGTTTATTATTAAATCTTTTTTTCTTTTATAATTGTAAGTATGTACATGTATAAAGTTAAGTATAAAGCGTATTGTCAGAACAATTCCACTCTACACTAGTTAATAAAACCATCTTTATTTGTGCACTTGTCAGTGTCAATTGCAAGCAATTTATTTTTATGACAATATCATATTTCAGATTCGCGTAAAATATAGTGCGGTCATATGTATATATATATATGCGCGCATATTTGTATACAAAGGAATTTCAAAAAATAGTTCCAAGCTGCTATAAAAAAAGATTATAAAAAAAGTTATATAAAATAAGCAATTAAAACTTAGATCGAAATCATCGGCTTGCTTAGTACGTTTTATTATTATGGTAGAAGCTAAAATCGGAATAAAACGAAAAAGAAAATCTAAGTCATCAAAACACGCTTTACCTTTGTTTGTAGTCCATTTTGGAAACAAATATGATAGCAATTTAGAACTTCAAAATGTAACTAGAAATGTTAATTCTTAAGAATATAATGGCTCAGCGAGCAGTATGTAATAATAAAGCATAACTCTGACATTATTAGAGCACCAAAAAAAAAATCATAAAAAGTAAACTTTTCGTCGCTAAAGGCGCTGGAGACTGGGCAGGACTTTAAGATTAGAACAGCCTCGATATTGAATGAGGTGCTTTAGAAAATACATGTATAATAAACCTCTTCAATTCGCGAATTCTCTGTTCAGTATATATGAATTCCGCCCAGTTGTTAGAATAATAATGGAATAATATGTTAATACTTTATTAAAATGCTGTATCATACTACCAAGCTTTGTTTCTTTGATTAAGTATGTAAGATTCACCCTTCACTCCAAAGTTTAGCGTATCAAGGACACAAGTGTAAATTTTAGACAAAATAATATTGTTGTATTGTTTAAAAATTTATATATTCTCTAAAGATAGATGTAGGGTATTATAGTAGTAGCCTGGAGCCTTTGTTTTTACATTGGATTACAACAGACGAATTGCGTATGATATGCACGGCAATCAAGGAATATGTGTTTTGGTGTCACAGCGGCATGGTCGAAGAACCGACATACTTACCTAGATCTTTAGGACAGTTCATCAATTTGTACAGATGACACCTTAGCCTACAGTGACCCTTATAAAACCCCATTAGCTGCTTTAAGTTGTCCCTGAAGAAAACAATTATTTTCTTTAACTTTTCGTATTGGACTTTCTCAGAAACAGCTTCACCTGGCTAAGTGAAGGCATTTGCTGCCAATAGCCGATTCAATTGATTTGGTTGCCTCAGCTTGTTTGCTAGGTCAGCAAGTTAATTAACTGTAGAGGTAGACAAAATTTTCTAAAATTGATTTTTACATCCAAGACAAAAATAGAATTTAAAATAGTCTCAACGACTGGACTGGCAATTCAATAAAAAAAAGTTTCTAGATTGGCACATTTTTTGCTTGGCAACGTAGCTGAAGTCTCCAAATTCTTCAAACGCATCTTTACTGGTGACGAGACGTGGGTTTATGAATATGACGTCATAGCTGTCCAATAATCTAGCGAATAGGGCTCTAAAAATGGGCCGAAACCGAAAAAATTTAAATTCGCTGATGCACTGGAGACCATCCAAGCCAAGGTTTACTCGTAGAACAAGTGGATCAAAAATTTAATTAAACTTTGGCTTGCCTGTATGGACTCAGGATCACATGTGAAAGCTGATAACAAAGATTTGAATTAAAACATGTGAAAATGTAGATTTTGTCAGTACTATTCAAATTTGATCAGATGTTATATTGAATGAGCGAGATAGAGGGATATGTTCCTACATTTATCTAATTTATTATTACTTTCGAGAAGATATAGATTCGTTTTTATGAAAGTCGGATCTGAAAGCTAAAAATATCTATTCGAAGACATGTAACACAACTTTTTAGAAAACATATATTTACGTGCATTTCGAAAATTTTTTTTTCGAAAAATTCTCAAAATTTTCGTATCAGCATTTTGTCCTTTTGAATTTACGGTATTGACGATAGTCAAGCAATTGTATTAAAACAATGACATAGTGAAAGTTTTTATTAAGCAAACTCCAATATTTAAAACAGCACGATACTAATATGTATGTGAAGACTCACACTAATTCTAAAGAATTTAAGAGTACCCATTAGATGGAGGTCTGTTGTGAAATATCGTCTTACTGACAAAGCAGTTGTTCAAAGTGACATTTTATTTATTTATTGCTTAAAGTCATAAAAGGAAAACAACACACAATAAAATTGTGTATCAAAGCTCGGTATATACTCTAAATATACACAGAGCAAAGTATACTCAACCTAATGTGTAACAGGCACGTGAGTAGAACTTGCTTGGCAGCGTCGAAGAAATTGGATACTAACGCTTAGCAAACGACTGCACAAGGAGAGCGTGTGGATGGGGGGAAAATCAAAGCAAAATAAATAAGCAATTGAGCAATATGAAGCGAAATGCCGACAATAAAGGTGCTCGAAATACAAGTCAATCATAGTGCGGCAAATATTGTACTATGAACACATCACTCACAAACGGACGTACAATTAGGAACACTTGATGGGCAATGTCCAGCTCAGCTGTCGGGTACTCGATTACACAACTGGCGAACGTTTAATAACGCGGCTCACTCAGTTCCTTATAATTAATGCCAATTGGCATCAATTTTGCACCGTTTTCAAGAGTCGGGCGTTATGTATATCGATACATATTGTATTTATGTAATTGTGTTAGTTTGGTTGAACTGCGTTATGGCAGGCAGCATGAGCGAGCATTGACACCCTGACTGTGTGTGAGCTGAGGCACTTTTAACTTTTAACTTATTTTACATGCACTGATGCATTTGTTTGTATGTATGAAGTGTATAGAAGAATCTTCTTTTGGCCCACGATCGATCGCAAGAGAACCAGTAATTACCTGTGATTACCGCTTTAAATATTATTGAAAAAAATCCTCCCAACGCTTTCACACAGGGTTACATGACTGATATTGATATATGCACGCATAAATACTAACAATAGCCAACGACAATGACGTACATTTGTGTGGCAGCGCAGAAAATTTCTGTGTCAAAAACAACTGTTGCAGCTGCCAAGTAAGTGTTGACAGAGCGTATGAAACTGCTTTAGTACAAAAACACACACACATATATATATGTATATATATATATATATATATAGACGCACATGCATAACTATAAATATTCGCTTATTTATCACGGTATGTGGGTAAAAGCTGCACCAAGTCTGAAGTGCCAACTGACTCAGCCGCAGGCGCCGCAACAACAAAGAGCTGCGTTATGAAATTGACGCTTGATTTCCTCTCTAGATCAGCAGTGCAATGTCGAGAAAGGATTCGGTTGCCATCAACCACACTGACACATGCACACTTGAAATTGCCAACCACCATCATATTATATTTGTGTGTCACACGTCAGTGCTTTCAGTCAGCTTTCACTTGGGTAATTCATTGGCAGCATATGGTGAGCGAGCATAAATGAAATTATTGCACTGATTTGTATAGAAATGGAAATATGGTTATAGCAAGCCAAAGTACGAGTACATGACAACCGACGACATACATTAACTGTAAACGCTAAATTAGAACTGCAAAGTTTAAGCAATGCAACGCAATATAATCATTTCTATCATAAATTTTAATAATAAACTGTTATGTGACAGTTGCATGTGAAATATCTAAAAAAAAAAACTATTTTAAGACATTCAAATGTGCCGTTGAACGTACAACATTCTTGCGTTCAGTACTTTTCCTAATTACATGTGAAGACGGGTGATTCAAGGTTACGTCGCGACATGTGAAAATTATATTAAAACATTTATTTAGAGACGCATCAGGTGGTCAGTCTACTAGAATGAGAAAGCACCAAAATAAATATTTTATATAATAATGAGACGTTTAGCACATGATTTTAGAAAATGCTGAAGAAGACTAAAAATATATTTAATGATTAATTATTTCCACAGATGTATTTTATATACTACAAACTTTGTATGTATGGGTAGTTTTTAATGTAAAACATCGGAAAGACGAATAAGCTCGAGTTTATTGCCGAACGGTAACTCCGCATTTATGAGTAGTGTTTAATGATAAACACTAAAATGATTAATAAACTTTAATGATAAACACTAAAATGATTAATAAACTCGAGTTTATGCCGAATGAGTTTAGTTTAAACTCGAGTTAATTGCGGTACTGCGTTTATTTAAAAACTTATTTATTAATAGTGAAATATTGTAGATAAAAATCAGTATAGTGTTTTATGCGAAAAACTAACTAACTCGAGTTTATGCAATAGTGTACATTTTGCATTCGTTAATGCATTTAATGTTAAACACCATAATTACCCATAAGCTGGAGTAAATTCGGCATTTTTGAGTAGTGTTTAATTCTAAACACTAAAACGATCAATAAACAAGAGTTTATCGCACGATGTGAACGTACTAAAGTAAAATAAACTAATAGCTGTCTATCCATGCTAATACATGTATATTTATTGAGTATGGTGGGCTAACTAACCACATTACATGCGATACAGCTGCGTCCCAATTGTCTACTACTTCTATCATTACCCAGAGGTAGCAACTTGACTGCTGCGCTCGGTCATGGCTTATCATAACTATCGATTTACAGACACCCGACTTACAAGTATGCGCTAAAATAATATGTGTGCAGGCAACGTTGTTTGTCAACATGCTCAAGCTAAGCCTTGCCTTTTCGCTAGAATTGCTTGCCTTTTTTCTTTTCTCTCGTTTAATTTTTTTTTTCTACTTTTTTATTCTAAAAGCAATAAGACAAAAGGAACTGCACTTAAGCATAGGCAAGAAAAACGTAGTTTATTGAATTCCTCGTCCTGTTTATGTTTTGTCACAGTCCGCAAAAGTACCGTCCTATGACACTGACACAAATTCACACGAATGAAATGTAACAAAAACGCCATAAATGAATAAATGTCAGCAAAAATAGCTTCCATTCTGCGAAAATCGTAGTTGATGCCCTTTTTCTTGTTTCATCTGAACGAAAACAGCTTAAGGGCGTCAATGGAATGGACACAAGCTTCGGTGTATTGTGTAGGTGTTTATTGCATTGTGAGATGTGAATATACATAAGTCCATATATCAGGGGTTTGCAGTACCGTTAGTAGCAGCTAGAGCTAAATAACACTCGAAATTGATTTCGTAATAAAATAAGAGGATAGAATTTCATTATATATATTATACTATAATAGATAACATATAGTTCATAGTATAGTAGTACGAGTATGTATCTATGAATCATGGTTGGAGACATGTTTTAAACATTGTAAACCAATTATAAAAGTTGTAATAAAGTTGTTGTATTATTTTAACCACTAATATATCTCACTTGTTCCTAGAAGCTCTTATATACATAAAAGTATTTATATCTTAAAATCGGCTAAACAATACTTTTTTGAACAACAATTAATTAGTAAATTTAATTACAGAGATAATTTTCTGAGTAGAGATGCCACCTTGAAAAACTAAAAAAAAATGTTAAATATTTTAAATTTGGCTTGCATATATTTTCTATATAACAATCCTTTTTGTGAACGAACAGTGATTACGAAAGTTAACTACAACAAAAAAATTGTGAAGAGGGTTGTCACCCTGCTGAAAACATTAACAAAATTTAAAATATTTTAAGTAATAATAGAAGCTATTAGTGTGCAATGGATTAGATTTGCAAAAAAAAAACTGGTTTTAGAAATACTTGTATATTTCAATAGTATTGCCATATACATATTTTCAAATTTCAAAACCAAAAAAAAAAAAAAACATGAATGAAAAAAATATAAATTAACTTTGTACATATGTATGTATTTGTATATATTTTCTTTATTAGTAACACAACAAAGTTAATGGATAATCAGGGTTACCACCGACATATGCATAACAATTAAAGAAATATTACATACATAAATACTATATTATAACAACTTTTATTAAATCGTTTGTCGACGTTTAATAATCAATATAGTTGTAAAATGCTTAACCAACATAATTTTCGGAAAAATTAAATTCATTACAGTCGGGCTGCAGGCTGGTAAGTAAATGGGTTACTCATACGACCGGGTGAACATCGTTGCTTATATCAGATGTAACTGTTGCTCTGCCAGACTTGTCAAAAAATTACATTTCCAATATATTAATTTTATGAATTTAACATTTTTAGGCTCGTTGGGCAAAACCAAAAATTAAATAAATTTCACAAAAATATTTTCTAATCTTTTAAATGTAGCATTTGCGAGTAGTTAGCACTTATTGCCACTCATTGGCTACTTAAGTATTGTATTTACATTGTATTGTGAATGATTTTGCAACGTATGAACTTATGCGCATATTTTTAGGAATGTTACAAAGATCAAAGCGAAAACTATATAACTCGTACATACATATTCACAGTTGAATGCATTCGTATGCATGTCGGTGCAAGACAAGTGCACTTGTTTGAATTATTACATTTGTCACCTGTGCAAAAACCTTGAACGAGAGTGTGTAAAACCAAAATAGAATAAAGACAAGTGCGAGTACAGCAAAAGGGACAAAGGCATAAGGAATATGAAGGGAATATAATGCAATTCACAAAGGGAAAATAGTTCAAAACAAATAGAAAAATGTGGATATAAAACGAGAATCTGCATAAAGGACCTAAGGACAGGAACTTATAAATAGCTTAGAAGTTGTTCAAGTGTTTTTACGTTTGAAAGTATCCAATAGATAAACAAATACACTTTGGTTACGAGGCACTGTGGGTGGGGCATTATCACTTTGAAATATTTGCAAAATATTTTATTTTTGTTGTAAAGATTGTCGACTGTACTAGGAATGTGAACAAATTTTGCTGAATGTCTCTAGTGTTAAGGTTGAAAAAGACTTGTGGATATTTTCTTTATCTATTAGTGAATAAGATAACTTACTATTTATAATAAATGCTTTAATACTTAAAATTATTGCATAGCAAAATTTCAAAAGCCAAGAAGATTTCGTGTTGTCACAATATACACTGCGCTTCATCAGGTTAGCACACCTACAAAGTTAATAGTTTTGGTTAGTTTCTATCAAAACTAAAGAAGCTATAATTTTAAAATTATTGCCGATTATTAACGAATCAATTTTTTACTAAATAAAACAACATTTATGTTTTACTAGTTTTTTCTATATTTTTTAACATTTTTTACCCGAAATCAACAGAAAAATTAATGATTTAAATTAGGTCATCAGGTTAGCACATATCGCTTCTTTAATATTTTTCGACATTTTTCGCCAAGTACATGTTTTTAAACTTATGTATGTATTAACTAATTTTAACATTTGTATATTATTTTAATAATGAGTTGTTCCCGCCTTGTTGATAATGATCTCAAAGATACGATTGGGTAGCAATTCGTACAATTTTACAATATAATTTAAGAAAATTAATGACCAAGCACTTTTAATACCTTTAACTAATTTCGATTTAGTGGAATATTGTCGGCCGGACTCGAAAACTTTGCAAACCAACTATTCCCACAGCTTGTTTATTACAAGTATATGGATTTCGGGGGATTAGGACGACAAGTGCATTTAATCGACGTTTTTGCCTTCAATCCCAGACTTTAAACCCTGGACAATGTGAATAGGTGCATTATTGTGCGGTGCAAATTTCCTTACAACTTTTTTACGTGTAGCAATTATATTAGCAATCAATAAGAAAAAACGTTAACTTCGGTCGCAAAAACTTGATTCCCATCGTTCTATTTGTATAGCAGCTATATGATATAATAATCTGATCTGAACAATTTCTTCGGAGAATTGTTGCCTTATCATGCTGATCATTTATGTATATATCTTATAGGGTCTCCGACGTTTCCTTCTGGGTTTTACATACTTTGTGACGAACGTCTGCAAAATTTCAAATCGATATCTTAAAAACTGAGGGACTACTTTGCATATATGCAGACAAACGGACCGGCATGGCCAAATCGACTCTGCTTGTCACACTTGTCATTTACCATGTATATTTTACAGGGTCTCCGACGTTTCCTTCTGGATGCTACAACCAGCGTGGCAAACTTAATATACCCTTTTCAGAGTATAAAAAAAAGTAAAAGTAAAACTATAAAAGTGAAAAGAATATATTCGACGGAATTCGACATACGCTAAAATGACGTCATCATAACAGCTCATTACATAAAATGTATAGCAAAATATAGCTTAAGTAAAAAAACGAATTTAAATAAGCTGAAACTTTCATTTGACAAAAATATTCACCATTTAACAAAATAAATTGCAAATCCTCTCTTCCGACTATCAAATTGTTCTACATATTTTATTACCTGTACATAGAGTATGCTCGCACGCACAATTTTATGAGCCATTTTACCACATCCTTCTAGTACTAAGAATAACAGTAAATTATTCATATTAAACCCTCACGTTTTGCTTGAACTCATTAATAAAATTTCAACGAAAAAGTAGAGAAGCCGAAATGTGAAAACTAAAATTTTCATTTAAGCAAAAAAAAGCGGTGAAAATTCACTAATTACAGGAACAAACTTAAAGTGCACAGACTATTTTTTTTTTGTTTCTTCACACAATTTTAATTGCAAATTCAAGTGCTACTCACCTACAAAACGCACGCACACAGAGCACGCAAGAACGCACATAAATTAGAGCGTTAGCGCCTTCAATAAGTGCTTGGGCGAGCGTTGAAAAGCACTTCGCACTTTGCACTAGCCCGACACTCGAACGGCGATTGTGTCAGAATGAGGAAAAGTCGGATAGCCACTAACTGCGCCATACAAGCGACCAACATCAACTGAGAACGAATTGTGAAATGCGCTGCAGCAGCAGCTGCTGTTTCTGTTGTTGTTGGTGTCGTTGATAGTTGCAGCCGATGCCTGAAGGTTGGCTGGGGTTGCGGAGGTGAAAGCGCTGGGCCAGCCACTTGAGGTTTGAAATGACTCGGCACAGTGAATGTGGCGGTGCTGCACTATTGTTGTTGATGTTTTGCTAATTTTTTGAGTGCACAGCTATCAGAGGTGGATAGTGAAATGTCTGTTGCTCTGCTTAAGCTCTTGCAGTTGTTGTTGTCGCTGTTGTGATTATAGTGGCAGCTACAACAACTTTGCTGATATGAATGAATTTTACTTTTTTTTTTTGTTTTTTTAGTCCTTTGCGTGCTTTTAATTGCTCACCAACTATTCGTTGAACTTATTGTCCGCTGTACTTTACACTCGAAACGTTGCCTGTGAACTGACTGCCACGCAAGGACAACAGCCGATTTTAAAAAATCAGCAGTAAGGCGAAATTTTGTTGGACAGGAAACGAAGATGGCTTTCGGGTCTTCATTTCTATATGCATTTCGTGAAATTGCGACGTAATTTTCTGGTTAAAATGCAACGCTAGAAGGTTAGGTCAGGATACTGAGACAAGTCAATGAAGAGAGCGTGAGCATTAAAAGGGCGGAGAGAGAAAATAAGAACGAATATGCGTTTGAAAGTGTGAATGCAACTACAATTGTACGAGTAGTTTGTGAAGTAGGTGTGGGGGAGGTACAGCAAAATTCAAATAAATATATGTGTAATGTATTGCATAAATTCATGTGTGTTTGTACGTGTGTGTATTACCGTAAAATATTGTGGCAAAAGTTAAAGCGTCATTTGTGGCATTATTCAATATTAATATATTTAATGTCAACATAAAGGTTCTGAAACACTACTCTTGAGGCCACATGACGTATAAGTAACATTTGTTTATACAAGTAATATGCAGCCGCATACGCCCTGGCGTGTCGGTGCATACAAATGATCATCATAAAGGCATAAAATAATTTTGAGAATTAGAGCAAAAAAAATAAAAAATAAAAAAATATTATAATGAAAAAATTATAAAACAAAATTTTTAAAGATTAAAAAAAAAACAGTGAAAAATAAAAAAAATTATAAGTAAAAACAATATTAAAAAATTTAAAAAATAAAATTAAACAAAAAAAAAAAATTTTTAAGAAATATTGTATCACCTAAAAACAAAAAGGGCAAAATTCGGGTGTAACCGAACATTTCATATTCTTGCCACTAGCAAGGATCAAATCCGGGGAAATACCTGCAGGTTTTGGCAAATTTGTATTTCAAAAAATGTTGCAAAAGAATTCATTCATTGTTCGAAAAAATAGTTAAGGGATTACAATTAAATTTATGTCTTATAAGCTTATATAATTGGTCCTAAATTCAATTAGTTTTATAATTATATTTTACTTCCCGTCAGAGAAAATTATATGAAAATCCTACTCAAATAAGATATAACTGATATAAACTTAACCGAAACGAAAATTTAATATATTGAGCTGATGTGCAAAACGTCAAGATATGAGGTTTGGACCAAAGTCTAAACCAATTCCATTCACATTCGTCGCTAAACCACATAATTTTTTAGAAACATTGTTAATTATTTATATATTATTACTTAAATATTTATTAAAATATTACACATTTTGTCAAACCTAAACGGTTTAAAGACAGTTGTGAAGTCGGAGATTATTTATAGGGTATATTGAGGACAGTAAAAACATATTTTCAAGCAATTTCTAAATATATGACTCATACACTGACCGGCATATTCAGCATAAGGTTTGTTAGAATAACGAAAATATTTGGGGAGTTTAAAGTCAGCTGGAAGTTCGAAAATTTTTTTCTATTTGGTATATGGGGGCTAAGGGAATTATTGATGAGATTCAAGCCATTTTTGGACACCTTGTTACCAGATAAGGATTCTCTATGAGTTTACATAATATTACTCACAGATTGACCGATTTTTTTAAAAAAAATTCACAATAGGAACTGGGGTCTATACCTGGATTAAACATTTTTGGTTCAATTTGAAAAATGTTTAGGTCTTAAGCTGGCAGACTACAAAATCAGTATACGAGCAGAGTTTGAACCCGATATATTCATTGGTGCTTGATTTGTATACTGGAAAGTAAAAGAATCTGATGGAATTTAAACTTTATATGAGAAGAAAATGTGGTTGTAGTAGCAGGTCTCGATATATGCGTTTTCATCGAAATGTGGGCGGTGTCACGCCCATCGTGAAATTTTGACAGCGGCATCTATAAAGCCTTCTACTATCTCGGTTGTAAAATTTTATGTTTCTGACGCTTATAGTAGTTTTTAACAAAGCTGTTATATGAGGAATGGACGAGATCATAATCCGAATTCATCCATTTACCCCCTGAGCGAATTTGGTAGTTATAGCTTGAATGGCTTAGGAGATATGTACATTAAATCTCTTAAAAGGCGGTCCTACGCCCATTATTTCAAAGCATAAAAGTGTCCCTTGCTACTGCAATGCCCTGCACCAAATTACAGGTTTATATCCTTAGTTCATGCTTAGTTATGGCACTTTATAGGTTTTCGTTTAATGGCATTTTTTGGGCGTGGCAGTGGTCCGATTACACTCATCTACCAACTCGTTTTCTCTTTTTGGCCAAGGAATACATGTACAAAGTTTCGTTACGATATCTCAATATTTACTCAAGTTACTGCTTGACGGACAGACAGTCATTTCAACTCGTCTCTTCATCCTGATCATTAACATATGTATAACTTCATATATATCTCGATTAGTTTTATGTGATACAAACAACCGTTAGGTGAACAAAACTATTATACTCTGTAGCAACATGTTGATAGAATATAATAAAAATACACGCACAGGTTGTGTGGGCGCATATATTGGGTTGTTCTTGTTAGTCACCGCCATATTCCCTGGCAGCGGCGAGTACTGCTATGGTATCTGCTATAAACATATATATAGGTATATATTTTATTTTTTTTATTTTTCTCTTTGCAACAATGTGTGTACATACATATCGACGCATCTAAATAAAAAAATTATACAGCACCGGCTAAGTATGCACAGGCGTGCCAGTCTCCTGGGCGTACAATAGCAGGAAAAGCGCGCAAACAACAACAGCAACATTGTCTAGAACACCCACCTAATGAATTTTCATTGAACACAACTACTGCACTCATAAAACCGCTGCAATTTGCATACTGCGCTCGTATAAAAACCAATGATAAAAAGAGAAATAAAATTATATTTGTATATACTATACACATAACACTTAAATACTATAAGAAAAAGTAGTCATGGAAAACTAAACAAAAATTGCATTTCAAGAATAATTAAATGCAATAAACATTAAATACTTACTCAAAATTTCAAATTTTTATGTAATGCAGGCATAATAGTCGAACAACTTCTTGGAGGGCGCAAAAAAATTTATGAAAGCTTGTCTAGAATTTGAAGTGTCGTGGAATTAACTCAATTTCTATGAAATTGTTTTCAACTTTCCATATTTCTTTTGAATTTGCTGCGCTTTGCGCCTTTGGCGAATGGCGAATATAATGAATTAAATTGACAAGTGTGCACACACACATACGAGTAGATAGCTTCAATGAGGTTATGCGATGCGCGTCGATATGTAAATAATGGCCGTTTCTCTAGTTTATTGTTTTACTACCCACATTCCCGCACTTTGCTGCCATCGCAAATTTTATATGTTGCTGGATGACGTGTGAAAAAGAATGCCTAGCCACAAATAGGGTGGTTGTATGCAAATATTTTGTGCATATAATCATATAGCAATTTAGTCATTTTAACGGTATTTCTGCTTACGATTCAGTGTGGCCTTGAATATAAATTGCCTTATTTTCACCACAGTCTGCATGTTATTAAAGGAGTCATTTATTTGACAAGACATTGAATATTCCAAAAAAAAAATATATTTTATTATTAAAGTTAAGAGTATTGTTAGAAATCCAAAATTTTGAAAAATACTGTTTTTGCATACGTACTTTTGGATTGATTATGCATATTTATAAACCTTTCTTTATTGTTTAGACTACTACTTTTTTATAGCGTACACTATCCTAAAAGAAAAATAGAGGAAGTAGCACTTATGCTAGGTACACAGTAGTACGAAGATCAATACTTCGTTTGATCGCGCTAGAAAGAATATTCAATTTGGTCGAAGCACGAGTAACCAAAGGTTAACTTTTTTTATTTGATAAGATATCTTTTCGAAATTTGGCATAGATCATTGTGCAAGACAAATCGGAGCACTATAGCATATAGCTGCATTACAAACTGACAAATCATTTTGTGAGGTCTTTTTGCGTTTTCTCAAAACCCTGCCAAGGTAATGTATATGTAAAAAAAGCCCACCGATTTTTTAGTCAATAGCTATATAGAGGTGAAATTTTTTCGATGAAAACTTGGCTTTTTACCGCTGTTAAGTCAAAATAAGATGAAAAAGTTAGTTTAGTCGAAATTTCTTGAAACAATAAAATCGTTTGAAAAAGATAAAAACCAGAGGTTATGTAAAAACAAGTGTCAATAAAAAAATTGTAGATCCTTTTATTAGCTACAACTTTGTTAATCAACTTTTTTTCATAGGACTTGTAGTTTTTTGAGGAAATCGAGATAAAGCCGTCCCACTTCATGACATTATAACACCTGTAATGGTAATTTTTTTTCATTTTACTTACATTCCCTTTTTTTCATCCTACGTCCCTGGTCTATTTATGATATTAACAACAATTCAATTTTTTTTTAATTCAACACATAAATTTCATATATTATTAAAAAACAATGACCTACCACAATATAACACAGTCTATAAGCACCCTAAAGCACAGTAGGTAGATTATTAAGCATATTTTCCAAAGAAATATAGCCACTAATCGACAGCAATTTCCAGCACCGGCGTGGGCAACAAATAATTGAACAGAACAGCAAAGTAACAAAGCAATAAACACGCTTTTTTTTTGTTTTATGTTTGATACTCATATATAAAAATATACTTTTATTTTTGTGTAAGTATTATAGACCAGGCAATCTATTTCACCATGGCAGCCAAAGCTGACGTGCACAAAAAGTATTTTCCTTATATAATGAAAAAGAAGCCAAAATAAAATTTGACTAATGAGGCATAGCATCGTATCATATGGTAAAAACAAAAACAACTATCAGCAGAGGAATTATAGAATTGCATACGACACACCTCCAAAGATTGTATAGCAACAACAAGCTTTAGCAAATAAGCAACAGTTCTGTATAAACAAAAATTGGGCCAAAAATTCACGTATTTATTTACTTATGTACATATGTACATATATAATATTTATACTAATGCATATATACAGTATGTACCCAAGTGTATATTTGCTTTACAAAGCACAAAGCGAATGAAATCAGCTGC